CTCAGTGTATTTAGGTATGTAGGTCAAGACAACCTGCCGAAGTTCAAACTAAGTATCAGAATGCGGGACGTATTTCAGAAACTGCTGATCTACTGGGATCCTTATATAATACAATACTTTACTGTATTACATTATACTATAGTTTACACCATAGATAGAGGCATTCTTTATGTTAAAGTTAAGATCCATGATGGGAGTTTCAAGTCTGTTTTCCCTTACTGTATAAAAGAAAGCTTGGATACTGTGTAAAGTGAGTGAGGGAGAAGCAGGTCGGTTCCATTCCATTTATCGTTTATGGCATACAGCCAGAGTGCAAAGTTCACAGATGAGCCATGTTGTAGAAGCATTTGAGCTCTTTGCATGATGTTTACTTTTCCTTTTGAGGATGTACACCACTGCAGATTTCATGGTAAAAACAGAATACAAGCGTGCCTGAGGTGGACTCAAGTGCTGAGCTCAGTTCAATCAAGTGTGCTTGAAATTCAGTAAAAAACAAAGCTTCATGAATAAAGAGCTTTAAAAATGTTCCTGGCTTCACTCTGAAGCTCCCTACATGCCAATTTTTCAATTCCTTCTTTATCAGTACCTGCTGAGGACATGAAGTACCTTTGTCTTTGTGAGTCTCCAGTGTATACAAAACATTTACACTGTAATTTGCGGCCCGTGTTATATTACATTACCAAATGTTATCCAGTTATGGTTTTGTCTGCACTTTGTTTTTCTTTCATTTTGTTCTAAAGTTAACAAATACTCACTGTGAGAATGACAAAACACATCTACAAACAATCAAAATTATTCTACATAACACAAAATAACTTTACACAAAGGAAAAGGAGCAGAAAGACACACAAACCCTGAAACTGTTTATATTAGTCCCACACATGCCTCATAGGAGCACCACTGTGTGTATTTTTATACTGAATGTTGTCAGTGTTTACTTAGCTCTGTATATTTGATAAGCTCTGATAAAAAAAAAACACAGGCTTCATCCAAGGTACACATGCATTATCAGACTCAATGAGCACTCAAAGATCAAATTCTGTGGTGACAATAGAAATTTACATTATAATAAGTGACACTCCTTACATGATAATATAAAGTGCATTTACTCAAATACAGTACTTAATATGACAGGGTATTTCTACATTGTGCTACTTTGTACTTTTTATCTTCTTATAATGATGATCCAGTGATACAATGTATTATTATTATACAAATAATGACTTTATCTGTCTGTCTGTCTGTCTGTCTGGAGGTGAAGTGTGATTCTCAAGTGAAAGTGAAAAAATTATTTCAGCACTATGGAAAACAGCTCATTCAAAACAAATCAGTTTCCAGGCTCTCGTGTAGCACCACTTTACATATATTAAATCTGAATTAATTTGACACTGGCTGCACATGCCAGACACATGCCTGATTAAATGCTTTAGATTCATGGACTTCAGGTTAAAAGCCACATAAATATGCCTGAAAGAGCAATAAAATGCAAATATCAATTAAAATCAGAAAACTGTGACGTGAGTGAAAATATATGTGTAAGAAAACATATCAACTTAATTTTTATATGCAAAGGTTAACAATGAATGAATAATTTAGGGATCAGATATACACATGCGGAGTGATGATACATTAGTGTTGAATGCAATTTTCTGTCAGGCTGGAGTACTTTCTGTTTTGTTGGTGAATTGGTATAATCTCATCTACTTTGTAGAGTAACTAGTACTGTAAAAAAAAGTCTGGAGCCACCCTCCTTCAAGGAGCCAGACATTCTAGTAATTTTTAAGAATAAAAATGTAACTGGAATCAAGAATAAGCCAATTCTGTCTAAACATAACAGAAAACTAAGCAAAACACATAATTTCTTTCCATTTCTTTAGTTAAATCTATGAAGAATGTCAAACAGTCAAATAATTACCAGACCTGAAAAGTATGTAAAAGAGATAAACAGCATCTGAAAGTCATACCCTTAAGAAATAGGAAAGACCTGACATGGGAACTGAGTTACAAATCTGGACCTCGAGTCTACTTTTCATTGAAGCCTCAACAGAAACAGTCCCAGTCGAAGGGTGGCCGTCTAGAAGACACCTTAAAGGAAGGGAAATGGGCTGGGCAACAACTGGACTGAAAATCAGTGGCAACAGGTCTTATGAAGTGATAAATCAAACAATGCTGGTTCAAATCAATTGATAGGTCAGGAGAGAGGTGCAATAGTGAGTTTTTACAGCCAGCTGTAAAATACAGATTGAAACTCTGTCATCGTTTGGGCTGGACTGATAACATCCGAAGCGGGTGCCAGTGCTGTGGATCTTGACAAAAATGATAGAAATCAACCATCTGTTTGAGTTTGACTCGCTGTACAGAACCATCTGGAGAACATCTGGTTTAACTTTTCAGCATGACAATGATCTCAAACACACTGCAAATGCAGTAAAAGCATACCTCAATAGAAAAACATGTACAGAAAAACACTATCAGTCATGGATTGGCATCCCCAGAGATCGAACCTCAAAATTACTGAAGCAGTGTGGGATCACCTTGACAGAGAACAGAATAAAAGACAGCCAAAGAAGAAGAAGCTTTAGGTGTCCTTCGAGAAGCCTGGAGAACGATTGCTGACGACTGCTTAAAGAAATGAAAAGAAAGTTTGTCTAAGAGAGTTCAGGCTGTGGTGAAGAAAAATGTTGTTGACTTTGGAGATTATAAGAATTGTACATACTCTGTTTTGTCATTTATATTTGCACATTTCATTAAATCACTGCTCCTGTTTCCCATTTTTCCTAGCAATATATAGAGACAAGTCAGTCATTATGTAAATAAACCAACCCCAACCCCAACTCCAATCCTTTGACTGGTTTAAATGAGTCAAAGTTCAACAGGATGCGCCAAAAATCTGATGTCAGTATTACAAACAGCAGTTTCCCTTTAAAATGATCAGACATACCTGTTGTATTTCTGACGACTTTGCCATTTTGGGTTGGGAGTGTTTTTTTCAGTATTCTCCGTTATTTTGAAGAGCAAAGACTAAACTGACTAACCAAAGGAAAGAGGAGACTATAGCAAAGTTTACTTTATTTAAAAAGTTATTAAGCAGTGCAATTGCAATCTGTAGTACAAATTCAAGGCGCAGTATTTCCAGGAACACAGGTAACAACAGACAAAAGCAAAAATACAAAGTAAACCTGAGCTGGAGAGTAGTAGAGAAGTATGGAAGCTGGAGGCTGCTTGGTTGCTGTTCTAAAATGTTTGAATAACAAAAAAATAAAATACAAAATCTGTCCTTGGCACCAGTGTGAGTCCAGTTACATCATTGAAATACAAAGTAAGACAAATTTAAAAAACAAACAAACAAATAAAATATGATATGCATGTACAAAAACACAAATATTAAATCCACTTTTTCCTCAGGATTCATTACTGACGTTTTTCAGTGATGTTATTTCAGTGAGATGAGCCTGACTTGCTGTGGTTGGAGCTGTAACAGTTAGCATCTCCTGCGCAGCTGCAGGACAGTTTTAATGCACAGGCTGGCAGCGCTGTGCTGGGTCCAGGCTGGAGACCCTGTCACACTATGAGTGAGTCCCTGCTCAGTGCAGTGCTCTGTTAGGGAAACATACCAAGAGCAACATATTAGGAACTTCACTTTCATGCTCATGCAGGGTTAGCACAGCCTGGGGACAGAGCTTTGTAACCATGCACAGAAATCATGCAAAACTGCAGTGGTTGCCACCTTGCTCATAGAGGAAGGACTTTGGGATATTTAGAAAGCCAGAAAGCCTGTGTGTAATGGTTGCATGCTAGGCTGTGTTATAGAGGAATAATGCGCTTTCATTCATTATCAAAAATTAGGTTAGAAAACCCACTGCTACATAAAGTCATGTAGAAACAACACAAAATGATTTAGTGTTGACACCACAAATATAAAATCCACAATACATATTATGTATTTTTTTTTATATTATAACACTGAGAGACATTATTAAAGATATATAAAAGATATTAAAGGACAAGACAGATGTTTTTTTCTCTATATTTCTTACTGTCAACAAATCTCATGTAAGGCTCAAACCAGCAGTGTTAGTTTACGCACACGGTGCTTCTGTAAACATTGAAACCAGCTTTAGCAGATTTTGGAAAAGCATAGCTTATAACATTTATCGGCTATTTTGTTTTATAAACCAGTTCAAAAGCTTGTTAACACAAATATCTAATCACATGGAAGCAACTCGTTGCATTTAGGCATGCAAACACAGTCAGGATGACTTGCTGAAGTTCCAACTGAGCAAGTGATTTAAATGACTTTAAACACTGCGTGATAGTGTTTCAGAAACCGTTTCAGAAACTGCTTTAACCTGATAGGAAGGTAACAGTAACTCATATAATGTTTGGTCACAACCAAGATATGCAGAAGAGCCTTTCTGAAAACACTACACGTTGAACCTTGAAGCAGATCCGCTGCAGCAGCCACTCTTCTCAGCTAAGAACAGGAAACTGAGGCTACAACTCACACATACTCACTAAAATTGGACGGAGAAAACGTTGTCTGTAATGATGAATCTTCATTTCTGATGCGACATTCAGATGGCAGAGATGGAATTTGTTGTAAACATAAAAAGACAGATCTATCCTGATTTATATCAACAGTTCAGGACATGGGGGTGGTGCAGTGGTGTGGGGAATGTTTTCTTGGCACACTTGAAGAGCATTATTTAAATGCTACAGTCTACCTGACTGTGTATTGTTGCTGACCATGTCCATCTTTTTATGGCCACTTTGCACATCTTCTGATGGGTGCTTCAGAAGTGTATAGTGGAATACTGTTTTTAAATCTATATAACAGATAAACAGCTGAATGCTTATTTATACAGCAGTCAGCCTTGAAGTTACATAATAGGTCAACCGGACAGTTGTTTCCAACCATGTGATAAAAGCAAGTGAGTTGCTCCCTTTTAGCTCAGTTTTGGTCTCCACCAAGTCTTGAGTGATATACTTGGTTGTCTTTTTCATAACTGATCCACTTACTATGAAAGAACGTGTGCTAGCTCTACTGCTTTAGTACTGAACATATATCAGTATGTGTGTGGACTATAAAATAATAAGAGTGTTCTGAAAAACAATAAAACACTGACCTGATTGCAGAGCTGTGGGCTACTACAAAGCTACTGCTAATTAATTGGGGATTTGTCCATGAATCCGTTTCAGTACGGAATGACCTGGAAACAAACAATAGGTCCCAACTGGACTCCAATTATATCAATATATAAAGTTCACCTGGAAACATTTTTACTTACTATTTTTTTCATAGCATCATGATGTTTTTAGTTTTTAAACTACATAAACCTTTTGAGGACATTAATTGACAGAAAGGAATAATTCATGACTTGATTACACAGATAGTTGTTTCTAGACTGACACATTGCTGGTTTTATGCTTTTTACAGTATTTGCTGACAGTAAGATAAAAACAGGATATCACCAGACTTGTCCTGCAACAGTTTACAGGATTTCAAGGCTCTTTTTCCTGAAGAACAGAAGAGGAAGTCCTTGTTCCTGCTATAAGTAACTCACCAGATTTCTGCTCCTTTCTCTCTCCTCTCTGCCCCCTTGCAGTGTGTGGGACATTCCCTGGTTGGGACGGGTATAAGAGAAGGGCTTCATGGCTGCCTCTGTGGTCCTGTACCTCTCTGATCTGGGAGGTTCTGCTGTGCGGTACCGCTCGGTAGTTTGGTCAGCCCTGCGGTATCTCTCAGCCTCGAGCTCAGAGTACGGAGGCAAAGAGTCCTCATCTTCTGGGCGGTTGCTAGGTGAACGGCTGTAATAACTATCGCTGCCCTTTCCTCTGGAGCTGCCTTTAGAGGGAGTGTCACTGTCCTCGTCCATCCTCCCAGCACCTCTGTCCCTTCCCCGGCCCCTCGTTTTACTCTCAAGCATGCTGTTGAGCAAGGCGTCATCATAGGCTCTGCTTTGGGGCAGTCGAGACGGGCGATCACTGTCCCATGTGTCTCTTCTCTTTTGCAGTACTGGTGACGGGCTGCGGCGCCCCCAGCCATCATGTTCATTTCTATAGGAGCGCCTGGGAGGGCTGTAATCCCGCTCATAAGGCCGGTCTGATGGCGCACCCCGACGTCCATGTGTGCTATAAGACCGAGCGAATTCCTCCAGCTCATCCAGAGAGCCCGTGCGCCCTCTTCTGCCCAACGTCTTTCTCTGCAGGTTCTCTGATCGGCAGTTCCACCTACAGCGAGAAGCAGCCCATGCTATACATGTTAATAACAGAACAAACAAAACTGGAGAAAACATTTATCTCACCAAGAAGCAACCTCCAGGGCTGACAAACGAAGCCAACGTGGAAAGGCTCGCTCCAAAATTTAGAAAACCCTTGTAGACTCCCATGTTAGCTACTTTTAGCTGATCCATTATTCTCAATGGGTCACTACAGCAGGATGCTCTGCACGTTTGACAGAGGAATTTGTGTCTCCTCCCAGGATCAAACCAGGGATCTTTCATTTGTTGGGCAAAAAGTGTAAACCACTACACTAAAAGCCATTACTGCAGACAATGTTTACATCCTGGTTTAATTTTGCTTTTTAACAGCTCTTTCAACAATTTTTTAAAATGGTAATTACCTGTATTAACGTTCTATTCATGAACAGTTTTGGTGAGAGAAAATAGTCGTAGAGTAACACGTCACTTTTAGGAGGTTTACATTTGGACTGCTTTTACTTACAAAGGGGAAAAAGTGTGCAGCCACGTTTGCTGCAGGTGATGCAGTGAAGTACATTGAACAGAGTGGAACAATTATAATCTATTGTTTCTACTGGCAAAATTACATTCCTTAGCAATAATTTGTGGTTGACAAAAAGGTATTTCAGCCATTTTTATGGTGTTATTGTGTTTTGCCTATGAATATCTTTGGATTCACTTTGTTTCAAGCAACATAAAGACGTCACCATGACATTCAGAAACATCTATTGTCAAATGTTTTCTGGCATTAAACAGTAAATACAACAACCTGATAGAAACTCTTCAGAGTGAAGCATCTCTCCACCTTACCTGCGGTCCAGTTCATCATCTGAGTGGTTAATTCTGTCTTGTCTGAGTCTTCGGCTTTGTGTAGGTGGAGCTGCTCTCCGCACCGACAGGTCATCGAGGTCTGCGATAGGTGGAAGTGCTTTCATCTGGACCGCCTGAAAGGTGTTTCTGAAGTCTGTAGTCCCTCCATCATGAAGCGAGCTGAGCTCTGATACGCTCCTGGCTGCTGGGACAGACACATCGCTAACATGATACTTGCTGTTTATACTAATAAAGTCATTTTGAATGAACAGCGGGCGGTATAAAGGTATGAATGCATTCAAGGAAGAATAGGATCAGACGATGTTTTTTATTTTTTTAATTAAAAAAAGAATCATTAGGGAACAAATTAATTAACATTAAAATGACAAATGCATGATCTGTCTTTGTTATTACTATTATTATTATTATGAACACAGGAACGGCAGTGTATCCCAGACATTCCACAGTGATGCCATTAATGCTCCATACATGCCTTTTAAATGCCCCCAGAAATGCTTTGGTAGATCTGTTTATGAAAACTGCACAGGCTGTCTCACAAACTTAAAATACTACATTTGATTATCTGTACGAACTGTTGTACTTGAAGCTGAATGATAGACACACTCCTCGAGAAGACTCCATAAAGAGATCGCAAAGATTTTGATTTTGCTGACAAATATTCTCCACTTTTACCCACTGAAGTGTATAAAACACAGTACTTGTATTTGTGCACACTAAGCTGAGTGAGCACAGCAGGGCAAACCATGACACTTACTTCCTGAGATGTCCTAATATAGAGCATCAACAACTGGGGATGGGCAACATTCTGATGTTTCAAATTATATCCTTCCATTTTAATTCTCTCAGTGATTTTCAGATTGTTAACACCGTCATCATTTGGATATGGTGGGCCTGTGGTTTTTAGATTAGGATGTGATGTGCTCATATTTCCAGCCCCTATGTGGGATTCAGCTGATCTATTTTTTACAATTGTGAAAAATAATCTACACCTTCTTTAGATTATTAAGGTTATAAATTTCAGGACAACGTAAAAAAAAAAACTAATCTGGTCCTTCTCAGGTTCTAAAATTATCTCAGATGAACAACAACACGTGACATATTACACTGTATTGTTATTTATTTAGCAAAAAAACTAACCCATAAAGCAGAGCAGTTTGTGAGAAAAATATGTACACCCTTACTGCCTCCGTAGTCATTAACAGTGCATCGTTCCACGGTGAGAAAGATTATTTACAAATTTAATCTTCCCAAGTGGCCTTTCCAGCAAATTCACCCTAAGTTCACACTGCTCAGACCCTCACGCTCTACAGGCCCCAGTTAGCATGTTAAACGTTAGAAGTCCAGACTGTAGAATTAGAAACAGACTGAACAAGTATGACATGCTTGGAAGGTGTCATGGTCTTGGGTCGGTGACCCAGCGCTTTAAGTTTACTATTATCATTTTCTAGTTTATTGTTATGATTATTATTTGAGTTCTCTTGGGTCTGCCTCTGAGTCTGCGTCTGTATCTCTGTCTATGGTGTCACCCCGTATGTTTGTGAAACTGTCTGTTCAGTTCAGCGTCTTGTCTGGTTCCCGGTGTCTGAGTTTCCTGTTTTATTGTGAAGGTCTGTGTCTTTTGTGAGTGTACTCAGTTTACGTTTCCCCTGTCTCGTCAGCTGTGATTTCTCCCAGGTGTGTTCCCCTCCTGTCTCTCATCCCTTGATTACTGCAATCTGTGTATTTAAGCCCTGTGTTTCTCTGTGTCAGTGTCGCGTCGTTAACGTCTGCTCACCCTCAGATTTCACTGTGTGTTCCGTTACCTGTTATGCCTGCCTGTTAGTTTATTTTCCCCCCCAGTATAGTTAGTCTTTTGTTCAGTCTGCAACCTGCAATAAAGCTGTTTATTTTGAGTTCAACTTTGCCTCAGTGAGTCCTGCATTTTGGGTCCTTCCTCCCTGCCTGCCTGCACACAGCCATGACAGAAGGGCTGCCAGGTACAAGCATCTTCTCTCTAAAAGCAATATTCTTTTGGAAAGGTTTCGAAAATTGCTTCTAAATAAACCTCTAGACTTTTAGAACAATGTTCTTTGTACAGATGATGCCATGGTACTGGGACTTTACCCAGCCTTTTTTTATTCTTTCCTTTATAATGATGATTTAAGTTCAAGTTTATACAGATTTAGTCTTGAGTTTTATTCATTTATGTTTATGTTTACTTGTATTTCCAGGTTTTGGTTTCTTATCTTTGAGGGTCATCTTGCGTGTTTGTCTCATCGCTGTGTCTCACGTGTGAGTCTGTTTGTGTCATTTGTGTTTACGTCTCCCTCGCTCAATGTGTGTCTCGCTCCCTCTGTTCCCTGTACCTAGTCAGTCTGCATCTCAGTGTGTGTTTCTCGTACTTTCTGTTTTACTTTGATAGTCTCCAGCATTGTCTGCAACATGTTTTGTCCCCTGTCTCGTCAATTAGATTAGGTCCAGCTGTGTTCCCCAGGTGTTTCCTCTTCACCCTGATTCCCTCTTGTGTGTATATATTGTCTGTGTCTCCCTCTGTCCAGTGTTGTGATCTCCCTCAATGCTGTGTGTTCTGCCTGTCAGTTTAGTTTCTAGTTTCTCCCAGTTTGGTTTCATGTCCTTTGTATTTCCAGCAATACAGCTGAGTTTTGAGCTCAGTCCTGCTTGAGAGTCTGCATTTTGGCTGTTCAATCCTGCCTGCCTCACACAGCCGTTATGACAGATGGAACCAAAGCGGAGTTGTCTGGCTTTAAAGCGTCACGTTTGGAGAAAAGCAAATCAACATATATCAGCACAAACATCTCATAGCAGCTGTGAAGCACTCTGGTGGAGAGGTGGTGATTTTTCACTTGGTTGCAGTGACATGATGGGAATATTGCTTTAGCTGAGTCGACAAAACCTAAACCCCACGTTGGAGATAACAGGTATCATGATGGTGGATTTCTCTGTAACGCCGCTGTGTGCACTTCCATAAAAAGGGGCGTGTCACAGATCATAAAACTCACTCCTACACAAAACGATCCCTGTGAGTGTCACTTACTCCAGACAGAGACATTATCAGATAATAATGACTACTTAACTCATCTGTTAAGTACGGCTTAACAAATTACATATTTCCCCAGAAGAGTCTTTATTCCACTTGAACCATGCAGCAAAATAAAAGAATCCGTTAAAATGACAATTTTAAGCCAAAACTCTGAACATAACCTGCTTCTAACCAGACTATATATTCAGTATACATTACCATGGTGATTTAGCAAGGTAGAAAAAGAGGCACAGACAACTCTGACTTGACAAAGCTTAGAAAAGAAGACGTGCTTCACATGTTTTCACATGACTATGTGTTTTCAAACTCATTAAAAAGTATGACTCCACAAGTTAACCTTGCAATTTGTGAATGAGAAAAAAGGGACAGATATTGTTTTTTTTTCAAATATAGAAGGATTAGACGGCAACTAGTAAGATTTAATTCCCACAAACCATGCACATAAAACACGTACATACATATAAACACACACACTGCCACACAGATGAAAGAAACTAGCCTAATCTGTGCAGGCTTACATTTGAATGCTGCCATCTTGCTGCGCGGAAACTGAGCCAGCTCCTTCTCTATGTAGTACAGAACTTTTATTGAGTCCTGGGCTGGACTGGCTTTGAGCCGGTAACCACTGCGCACTGTGAATGTCAACACACACACACACCTATAGATAGATTGAGAAAAACAAAACCATGCAAGGACGCACACAAACACTCTTGAGTGTGCAAAGTATACGAGACAAAACAACCTTATGTGTTAATAATGGATTAAATTCAAAAAAAGAGAAGAACAGACATTTCTTCAGACATTTCAGACATTCAGACTTTTCATTGTAGAGACAAGGATGAGAGATGATGGATGAGATGAAGGTTAGTCGTGTCAGTGTTTGATGAAGAGAAAAAGGCAGCTGTCACTGACATTTCTATGTAAGACTATAAACAACGTTAATTACACCCCTTGTTCAAATAGTCCTCAGAGAAGGTTTTAGAGCTCAAAAGCAGTGACAAAGAAGAGTGAATACTGAGCTCGTCAATATTGTTTTTGCCTCTCCAAAAGCGTTAAAAACAGTCATTGAACTTTCAACACTAGAACCACCGATCGCAGTCATTTTGACCCCATCCTCCAACAGTACCAGCAAAGAAGTCACTTCCAAAGAAATCAGTTAAGTTGTTCATGTTCATCTATTTTTTGAATAATAATAATAATAGTAGTAAGATTTGACAAAGTATTTAATCGGTTTTGGGGTTTTAATAATTTTGATTATTTTATTACAAATCACAAAGGTGAAATTAGAATTTTAAAATCCATCAATAAACTATGAGCACAATAAACAACACGTAACTACCATATGCAAATATTAAATATATATTGCATACAGGCGGCCTATAACTTATTTTAAAATCTTATCTGTAAAATTACAAAATAATTCTCATCTTTCAGGAACCATTTGAATTCTTCCTCTACCACTCACCTCCAGACAGGTTATTCTCCACTGAGGGGATCGAGTTGATCTTTGTGTCCGTGTAAGAGGAAGAGGCCACAGGGACCACAGTAGGTATACCAGGAATGTAATAGGGATACACAGGGACCTGAGCAGCAGGCTGTCTGCTCTTTGCCATCTTCCCCGCTTCATACACTGCATAAACAACACACTTTCATTGTTGATGTTAAAGAACGGGGATATTCAATTAAAAAAAAGGACATTCATTTTTTTAAAGAGGATGCAGGACAGTCATTGGGTTGTTTGTGTTACTCACGGTGTCGTGGGCAGCAGCAAGTGTCAGGGCAGCAGCAGCAGCGGACGTAGCAGCAGCAGGAGTGAGGACAGCACTGGCACCAGCAGATCCCCAACAACAGCAGGAGCAAGATGCTGCCCAGGACTACAGATCCCACAAACGCCCATTCTGATTTACATACATACAAAAAAAAAAGGTAACAGTCAATGATTAAACACTCTGAACAGTGATTTAACATCACTACACCAAAGTGAGAAGTTCAACCAGTGGAGGTCAGCAAAACCAAGATTTTCACATAACAGTCATATCTAGTGGTAACTAGATACAACTGAAATATGGCCACAACCATTAAAATCAGTCAGACTGGGCCAAACTCAAAAGGATTTGTGCAGTTTGTGACAAAAGCTCAGCTGAGTGAAGGAATTCAGCTAAAGGGCTGAAAATTGTTCTCCGAAGTTCAGCCTTTTTTGAAATGTCTTTGTTTATTTCAGATCTCAGCATTTGAATTGCTGAAATGTTATAACTGACAAAGATTTTGGACAAAAAAATAAACCCAGTCCCTTTATTAAAAAAAAGCTGATGTTTGGCGCTCTCCTCCACTGATGTACCCAGACAACAGACCCCTACAAACAGGAAACTTTAGGGGACATCAAAGGAAATCAGAGTTACTTTTATCCGTTCTCACATCTTTGAACCATCAAAACCATAACAACAGACTTCCTCAGGGTGTGCCAAGAGTCAAAATCCACTCACTAACAACACATTTCCCCTGTGAAATTTGAAATCATAACTGGAGGTAAACAATAACAACTACAACTCTGTGAATTTGGCTTCATGTAGCTTCACTAACTAACTGTGTTCATATCGGGCATAGAAGCTCCAGCTACAAGGCTGTCATGTTTATTCAGTCAAATTTCTAACAAGTGAATGTACATTTGTTAGTCAAAGAGAGTTTTATCTGGTCAGTTGGAATTAGAAACATCAGGAGGCAATAGAAAAGCTGGAAAATGCCAGGCAGAGAGACAGACATGCAGCGGAGGGACCATACCTGGCATAATCTCCAAATCAAACTCAGGGAGTAGATCTTGCTGCTCACCTGTCCGGCCTGCAGAGAAAGGGAGAGGACAGGTGAAGGCCGGCAGAGGAAGCGGGAAGCAGGAGTCAAAAGGTCAGGCAAATTAGCAAATTTGGCAGAAGGTAGATGATTAATGGTCATGCACTATTTGGGGAATGAAAGTTTAAGTATGAAAAAATGGGTCTGCATCTAGAAAATATCAAACTTATCAATGAAGACGTTTGTTGTTGACCATGCTGTCTGTGACAAACTGAAATGTCTATTAGATGGACTCCCGTGACATGTGGTTCACATGTTCACATCCCAAAAGTTTGACCCTTTTTGATCTGGAGGTCCATTTACTTCCCATTTGTACCACCAGGATGTTTTATATAGATAATAACTACGGGTGCAACAATACAGGTATCTGTATTGAACCGTTCGATAAAGTGGTTCGGTACGCACATGTATTGAACGATACAAAATTTTTAATTTATTTGGTCAACTTTTCTTCTGACGATGCAGTCTGTGTTGAGGGCTCAGTGGATCTGCGTTTGATTACTCCGCCTAGGCTGCACTGTCGAGCGCAGATCCACTGAGCGCCGCCCATATGCATTCACTCAAGTTAGCATGGCAACTGGCTCAACGCTACCCCAAATTGAACCTCTTCCACCGTCATTCAGATCTGGAGTTTGGAACTATTTTGGTTTTCATGTGAAGTATGACCCTACTTAAGCGCGTCGTGGACAAAAGTACAACAGTATGTCGGATGTGCCACGCAATGCTCAATTACATCGGTGGGAACACAACGAATATAACTGCACATTTACGCCGACATCACGCTAGTGCAAAGACAAGTGGAAGCAGACAAAAACAACAACAAGCACGCATGCTACAAACTTTACCTGAGTCAATTAGACAGCCGTTAGAACATGAAAGAGATAGAAAGGGCAATCGCTACTTTTATTGCTGTCGACAAAATAGCTTTTATTTTGGAAAGAGCCATATATCTGTAATAAACTCTCTTTTCCACATATGAGTGATTTCTCCATCAGATACATTTATTTATTTTTTGTTATTTAGTTGTTTCAGCAATATTTAATTTAAAAACTGTACTTTTGCATTAAAAGAAATATTTATAATTTTAATAACTTGACATGAAAAATTTTTTCGTATCGAAAAAATATCGAACCGTGACACCAAAGTATCGAAACGAACTGAACCGTGAATTTTGTGCATCATTGCAACCCTAATAATAACATAAAATTCATTGTTCCCAGAGATCCCTCTCTGATCTCTTGAACTACAATATGACCCACGTGCCAGACAGCAAGAGGTAGACTAACAAAAAGCAAGCCTTTATTAGCTGCTGGCAAATTAATAGGTAAAGTTGAACTGAGACTAAAGGAAACACAAAATAGAAAGGGCCACAAGGAGGCTAAACTAAGAGAAACTGCCAAACACCAACACAGAGTCTAAAAGGTGATTATAGCAAATACAAAGGACAAAAGAAGACAGGACTATTTATACACTGGGGGCTGATTGGAACAAGACGGGTACAGACAATCAGGACAATCACAAAGGAGCCAGTAAAACCTGACATGAAAGAAAACCAACCTTCAAAGAAATCAGGAAAAAAAACAAGAGACAATTACACTGCAACACAAAAACTAACACTAACAAGATGTCAGATAAAAGGGAGCACTGGAGGGCAAAGGCACTAACCAGAAAGATGAGACAGAGGGAGCAACAGATAGGGATCCCAAAAGGTTGATTCTCTTCATCTGCAGAATAACAGTAAATTTGCACAATAACTGAAACAAGGGTTTTCAGTTATTGGGCAAATACAATACAACTGAAAGCCCAGTTATTGTGCAAATGTACTGTTTATAAGGTTGGGGAAACCTAAAGTCAGCTGAGACTGAAGAAGTCACTTGGATGAGTGAGGAAACGTTTCTCCCACTGAAAACGCTACGTCCAGATGAACAGAATCAACCTTTTGGGATTTACTTACCTGGATGATTGAGCATGCATCAAGACAACAGATAGGGAAACAGAGGGAACTAAACACACAAAAAAGCAGAATAAAATAAATTAAAACTTTAAAAAAAACTATTAAAGCCTTTTTCTTTGATGCCATGCACAGTCAACGTGCCTCAGCGTTAACATTAAAACTGCACACTGTTAACTGAATGCTGTTAATCATTTTACATGCATGCAGACACCCAAACACATGCAAGCAATTGAGACGTGAGAGGCGACAGACAGGGAGGTTTGGAAACTGGGACACTGATGGCACCAGGGCAACAATTTACCGCGCAAGCTCGTCAAAACAAGGTCATGCAAGTCGCGCTGCTGTGAAACAATGTGCCTGTTGTGCTCAATATGTATGACATGAAGGTCAAAATCAGAACAAAAATTCAAGGAAATTACTCGCCGAATACAGAAAGGGATCAGCAACAGGTGTGCAGGAGTCAGCTACAGATGTTTTTAATGTGTTTATTATGAGGTCTGAAAACACTGATTACAGTAAAGACTGGTTACTGTCTGATATGACAACATTGGTAGACTAAACAACCCTTGGTACTGAGGCTGCAAAGTGTGCTGAGTAAGCGCTTATTAAGGAGTGGGGAAAAAAACAGTCTTGCTACCTTGGCCCTGCCTCACTTGACTGCATACCATCCGTAACCTGAGAGAGCTGAGGAGCTGTGCAGCTCCGAGAGGGAGGGGAGGTCGACGAGTAAGAAATGGAGGAGTGCATGAGAAGATTTTGCAAGGCAAAAGGGAGGGAAGGGGAGTGAGTGTGAAAGAGAACTGATTTCACAAGTAAATGTTATCAGCGTTCAAGGTGCTGGTGAACAAAGAATGTTTTTTTGATCATGTGCTTTCATATTTGAACTGTAGCCTAAATATGGAGTTAGAGCCAAGCAGCAGTTTTGTAGTAACACTGGTGAAGAAAGTTGAATATAAGTACCAGAAACTTTTAAAAACAACCAGTTTGGCACAGAAAACGTTTTACACACTTTCTAATTCTAACTTCAAAATTACAACATGCACAAGCTAAGAAGTTCAGCACTAAAGCCAAATGAGTCTTGTTATTCTCACACGTTTAAGCCCCTTCTTCTCTCCTGGGAGAAGACTGTAATCAGATTAGTGCTAAACTAAAGAGGGCTACATGAATGAGCAGACTTCATAAGCATCAGGCTGGCCTAACTTAAAGGGAGAAAACCAGTTTGAGAAAATAACAGATCACACCATCAGTTATTTTTTTTAAGTGTTTAGTCGTATTTATTTCATATCACAAGCAAAACAAACAACCAAGTAGACTTTTTGATCCTGGAAGTGCAGCGCAACAGCAACATCAAAGCACCATGCTGTGTTCCTGTATAAGTCAGAAGTTGGAATTCCAAAGTTACCAGTCGGAATTCGAATCTGGAACACCTCCTCACCTCAGAAAGTTGGAGCAGTCCCATCAACCCTGAGCAAACAATCCTGTTTTCCCTGGCTTTTTCTGGAACTTGCTAACTCAGGATTGACGTCACTCCGGACTTCCTATAGTCCAGTTCCGAGGTATCTGGAATGTTGCTTCAGATATGTTCATTCACACAGTCAGAGTTCATAAGCAACAAACCAAAGAAACCAATCCTATCAACCAGGAAGAGTTGGCTAATCTCTCTGATGTCACAGTTGGGAAGTTTATCCAACAAAAGAAGGATGCTATTATTAGTTGTTCGATAATATCCTCATATCTACATGTGCATGTCTACATGTGCACGACTTCTACTGCCATCCTCTGCTCTATGTTTCACTCTGTGTGTTTGCCTTTTAGCTCCTTGTGTGTGATGGTGAAACAGACACATACAGAGCGAAGGAGCGGAGAGACAGGACGAGTGAAGTTAACATTACTGTTACTATAAGCAGTAAAAGTGAGCGCTAATTCATCTGAATGATTTGTGTTGGCAGTTAGCACTTAGCTGTTGTCCCATGAGCACAAGCTACTGTGGATTTTTTAAAGTGCTTTGAACGCTCCACCAAAACAGCAGCCTCCAGATATTTTGGCATTGTGTGTGAGAACTACTAAGTAAAGCTTGAAAAAGTAAAGGGATAGGAAGGGAAGGGACAGCAGGATAATTTGCATATCCCACACTGTACATGCTAATTGAGGCAAAAGGCTCAGCTTTTGCTGATATGAAGGGAATATTTTCATCTAACTGTATTGAATACATCAGTGCTTGGAGGGGGACCTTTAACAAGCTCTTGTTTGGTCTGAAAATACATATTACCAAGTTCAACATCTTATAGTCTGGGTTAAACAAAAAACAATCTTACTTAGTGAAAATGCTACTTCAAGATTTACAGTAAGTCATGACTCTCTGATCTTAGTGCTGAAGTGTTGGCAGTTTAGTCAAGATTTGGGAGGTGTGTATAATGATTAACCAGTGATACTCCCCAATGAGCAAACGCCACACAGACAAACACGCTCGCTGTTGTTCAGCTGAAGCTCCCCTGCAGTCTTTGAGCCTCCTGACATACTGTGTAACTGACCTGAGATGTAACGGCTCCACACCGGCTCTCTAAAGCGTGCGACCGGCTAAAGAATAGAGTCCGTTATGGAGGATCGAGGGCATGTAAAGAAGGAAACACCATTTAGCTGTCTCCATGGAAACCATAGTAAGGGCACTCAGGAATGCAGCACAATTAAGAGACCACTTCTAAAACCTTTACCAACAACGCGCAGGAAAATACTCCCAAACAAACAAACAAATAGAAAAATATAGGTCAACTTTCTCGCATGCTTACCGAGCACCAGTAATTCCACCTGATCCTCGTTCTTCCCCTCCAGATCATCAGCGATCACGACTTTGCAGAAATACACCCCGCTGTCGCCCCACTGCAGCTCCCCAATACGCAGGTCTGCTTCTGCACAGATTACAAAACAAGGACAAAGATTATATTTCTACATATTTACAAATATTAATATGTCAAATGGCACAACATGTTCACAAACTTTTTAATGCTGCATTTTTAAAATTCAAGCGGAATCATTTAACACTGACGCCACCCAATAAGACTGTGCCCCAAATTTGAGGACTATGAACTGGAACTCTTTTAAGATCGATGACATGCTATTGATTGTTCAGTGGGAAGTGAGAGTATTTTCCCGGTTATGCTTGTTTCTTTGTTAGAATTATAAATCAAAAAGTCTGAATTCATCTAAAGATCCAAAAGCTGTAATTCACGTTTGGACTCAATCCTGAAAAAAGGGAGGGAGAATGTCATGTCTTGACAAAAACATGTTCAGTTGAAATGCGAGGAAGTGTAAGTCATGTTCTTAACAAAACACCACAAACTAATCTGGATGTGAAGAAAATTTGTTAAGGGTCCTGAAGTCAGTTGTTTGTTTTTAATGTCAGTAATGAAAAAAATACTGCCAAACATAAAGAAAGTTATTATCGGTCTACATGTATTTCCTTTGGCCTTTATTGTTATTGGATTTTGTGACAACAGGAGGGCGTTGTTGACACATTTAAATGGCAGACGTGTTTTGTCCTGATAAGAAGCCCACATATGAATGGGCGCGAGGGCGGGGGCCTCTGTGTGGTACCGCCATTCTTGTAGGACTGAAGCCGAAGAGATTTATTTATAGAAAACCCCGTCAGCTCTGACTTATGTGTGACGATCAAACAGCTGCAGAGTCTTTCACCTTATTTCACTGAGGATAAAAGCGGTGACATTACTGTTTATGATGCTGATGTCTCTGCCTTTGTAGTGCTCAGCCAGCGTCATGGAGGCTCCCTGGGACGATGCCACTACCCGAACTGTGCGGGTGTTGTCGGAGCACTCCAGGTGGGACTTGGGTCCCAGCGCTGAGGTCTTGATGCCCAGGGTCTCCGAAAGGGAGAAGGACTCCTGCGTGCGGTCTCGACAGTAGGACTTGTACCACCACTGCACCACCGGGAGCTGGACGGAGGACGTCTGGTACTGACACGAGAGGACCACGGACTGGAAGAGGATTGCATACTGCTTTTCCTTCTGCACTGAGACATGCACACTGTCACACATGCACACTGATGGACACATACAAGCAAAAAAAAATAAAGCACAGGTGTTTTTGTTAATCTACTAAAAATGGACATATCAGTTCAGTTTGACTATTAAGTCATGCAAATGGTAAATATGCACGATGCTAGCTTAAGCAAGTCAGTTCCACCTATTCTGCAGAATGAAATACAGAGTTTACAGACTCATTTTTTAGTCCAATCAATATAAGCGCCAGATCTGAAAACACACTACAAGCATTAAAATCCGTCCCATTTAAACAAAATTAAACCTTTAACATATTTGTTAATCAATAAATTATGTCATAACAATGAGAGGAGCCAATATGTTTAATTTCGGAACTGATTTGCATCAATTTTACTTGGTTAGTAAGTCAAAGATCTGATTACGCTTTACACCACTACTTAGTTGTGATTTTATTATTAACTTTTTAACTACAGCTAAACTACAGTCTTTTTACTGTCCACTACTTGGTCATTTTGAAGGCTGCAGCTTTGTTGGTGTTAAATGATAATGTGACCTTTGCGTTATTGGGGGTGGGGTCACTCTGCCCCCCTCAACTGACTTCTTTCTAGTCAGTTATTGCAGCTCAAGCTCAAGTTAATTATTCTCTGAACAGTCCCTGCTTTGGCAGCAATCTCAGTAAGTAGTACAGCTAAGGGTGCTGATTTTGGAGTGCATGTGTCTATGCAAGTGAAACTTTGGGAAGTGTCTTTGGAACGATCAGCACGTGAAGCTAGTTTGCTTGTAATCATGGATACTAGATCATGAAGAAGATGTGAGTGGGAGTGCAAATGGTCTGTCTCTGTGCTAGTCCTGTGATAAACTGGCAATCGCACCCCTCGCCCCATTGGAGCTGGGATAGGGTCCCACCCTCTTGTAAGCCTTAATTGGCTGAAAAAGATGGATGGATAGATGAATCATGATGAATAATGAATTAGCTTGTCTATCCTTAAACTGTGTAGCCTGTCTAGGTTTTCAGAGGATGAGTTTATTTCCTCCTGTAGCGCTCTTTTAAATACACATATAATGCATCTTACTGCGAATTTCAGTTTATAACCTGTGTTTTGTGGACACTGCACGTCAGCTGCCTGTCCATTTCACAGGCTCTGAAGCCGACCCTGTAATAATTTGCTCTCTGTCATCAAACTTCAGGTGAAGGAAAAGATTGCATAACTAGCGGAAGGTGATAAACTGGCAGGTGAGTCTAGATAAGAAAAGTTTGAAAACAGTAAAATGATGCAAGTGACAACTTTATGAGCAGAGCAGCAGCTGCATCTCATCTTTATCTGTACAGATGACTGATGATGACTCTGTGCTTCGGAGAAACTGTCATTATCATCATATCAAAACCAAAAGAAAGACAGGAGGAGAGATTAAGTGTGTGGGGGTCCGCTATTGCTCGGCGCTGGGGTCAGGAAGGTTAAATTCCAGTGTGCGTGGGGGGCTGGGGAGATCTAGGGAGAGGCAGGGGGTTGTCATCATAGAAGGAGGGGGGTGGAGCAGTCTGATGGGGATTTTCTGGTAGTCATATTAGCTCTAGGTGGGGCAGGAACTCAACTCTAAACATGTCCCAGAAGACAGGAAATCAAAACAAAACCAAGTCCACCAGCCTGCATCTCCCCAGGGCCAGTAAGAGGAGAATACACACTGTGTTTAGACATTTATCTCAAATGAGCACCTCTACAGCATTCTTCTGAAAAGACATCAAGTTTTCCTATTTCCAGGCAACAGTTAGGACTGCGAATAACTATTCTTCCCCCAGAAGGGAGACCCAAGGTAGAGGAATGTCATCACTGCCGGGCTTTTATTTGTCTGTCTGTATGTCAGCGGGATTACGCAAAAACTACCAGGCTTAATTCCAGAAAAATTGGTGAGGTGGAGGAAAGAAAGAGCTCGTTGCATTCGGGTGTGGATCTACACCACATTCTTTGAAAAGGATGTGTTATCCGAGTAATTGATTTTGTCTGTGAATCCCAGAAAAAGGGTTATAAAGTCAAGCATCTGTGTTTTCTTTTTTTCTGAAATGTCCAACAATCCAAAACTCAAAGAAATTCAATTAAGAATAAGAAGAAGTTACTTTCAGTTGCTGCCTTGTTAATAAGGAGTTGCCACATATTTGAT